GCAGCCCGCTGGGCGACGTCCCCGTCTTCATCGCCATGATCCGGGCCAACGGCGTCGCCGCCAAGACGCACCGGCTGAAGGTGAGCGCCACTCCGGTTCTGGTTCCACTCCAGAACAACTCGGCATGACCCGATCAACAGGTTCTGTTTCTGGAGAGCCGGTGTCCATTTCTGGTTGCTTCATCCATGAAGTTCTGGTTCTGGTTGGGAACCGTTACCTGTGTATCAAACTGGACCTGGAACAGAACCCTGCAGAACCTTTTCTGTAGGAAGAGGAAGTAGGTTGGAGCCGCCAGTCGGCCATGTTGGCAGAAACCACCTCAGACTGGGAAATGATTTAAATGTTGCTGTTTCTGATGCATAAAAACCGTTGATGGAAACTCAGTAAGTGAGCAGAACTTCCTCCAAACGGAAACTAGACGGAGGCGTCAGGTGGTGGGACGGTTCCTCTTCAGTCTTTGGCTAAAGTCCAGGAGACATTTGTCCTGCTAGCGCTAGGCTAGCACTGTAGCTTTGGTTGTATTTACCCAGAATACCCTGTGCTCTAGTCCACTTCCTACTTTTGGAGCGGTCTCTGGTCCGCTTCGCGTTCACATTCAAACTAAACCTTCACCGAGGTTTGGAGGACCAGAGGTCAGGGGTCAGAGGTCAGAGGGTGAATAGAGCTCACATCAAGCAAAACAAACCGGAGTTTATAGACAGACTGGATTTGGGTTAAAGTGGACTGAACTGGGCTGTGGGACTCTGGATCACAATTTGTAGTTTGGATCCATATTTTAAGTCGAACCAGCTTAGATTGCAAACTATGTGAGTTGAACTGAGACCTGACCCGGTTCTGAAGTCATCTGGTGGACCTGGACTGGCTCTCACATCGGCCCACAAAGTACAAGGAGTCTTTTCCAGACTAGCATCATTTATCTGATGAACATTATAAAAGTTCTGGTCGGGATCAAGTTAAATAAAATTAAAATAGAAATCAAATTAAGTTTGGTAAAATAATAAGACAAATATTAAACTGGCAGATTCCAAAAGCTAATAGTGACTAAAAACCAAACAATATT